AGAGAGAGAGAGAGAGAGAGAGAGAGAGAGAGAGAGAGAGAGAGAGAGAGAAAAAATAGTAGAAAACTAATGAAAATTCACCGAATAAACTACATTTATTGAACACCTGTGTTTATTAGTTCAATCCTGATTATCACGCTTGGCATGCACTTTTCATGCAGCTGCAATGTATTTTGGTTGAATAGTATCGAAATACATTTATTTGGTTTTGCTTGGAATAGGTAAAACTGTGCGAGAGAAGAGAGAACGCTCCAGTAAAACATTGAAAATCACGCGTTGAATTCGAAAATGAAGCGCTCTTTTAATGAAACTGATTCGTTTGATATATTTATACTGCAGTCGAATTTTCATGTATAATGCACATTATCGATATCGTTTCGATAAATAGAGAAATAGAGAGAGAGAGAGAGAGAGAGAGAGAGAGAGAGAGCGAGCGCGCGAGAGAGAAAATGAAACATAACAAATGAGACTGAGTGAAAGGATAGATTTACGGGGTCCGTTCATTTCCAATAAAGGGCGCAATTCGTAACAAAGAGGTAACTTTAGATGCTGTTTCCACATTTTATATTGATTATTTACGTTAAATGTTGCAAAATGCAAAAGTATGCTTTTATGTGCAATGCTTGTGATATGGTTCTTTTCATTGTATTGAATGAACTTTTGGCCCATTCTTTCAAAAATGAACTCATTGAATTTTAACCCATATTTTTGCTAACATTTTGAATTATTCGATAGGTTTCCGTCTTTGATTCGGACGTCTCGAGAATTCTATATAAAATGCATTGATTTTTGTATTAAGATTTCATTCAATTGAACTGTTGATTTTCTGAACGATGATAACACAGACAACAACAAAAAATCGTCTACTCAAGCGAAAACGATGTACCGTCGACTTTATGAATAATTCATACAACCACGAATAATGCAAACTAAAAAGTAAAAACCAAACCGACGAACATAAATATCATTTTCATGCAAATCCCATCGAAAGAAACACTGAACTAATATTTGAATAGTTCAATTCTTCACGTAAGATGGAATGGCATAAATCGAAATGTATATGGGCAAAAGAGACGGGATGAGCGAAGAAAATTGAGTCAGAAGGGGAATCGAAAAAAAAAGGAAATTGATTTCTATTGAATTGA